AGCAAATGTTGTTTCTTCCATATCTTCCCTAGACAAGAGATGATTATAATAACAGAGCCAAAACCAGTTCTCTCCCTATAAGTTTATGCTAAAGGCATGAGCCTAAACCTCTAAGGTCAGTAATATCTCTACAGGTAGATCTTAATCTTTATGCTTCACATCTGGGATGAATAATATAATGTGGAATAAATGGGTGAACATCGCCTTTTGGGGGCTGCCCGTCAGAGCAGGCCTGTACTGACTTCATCGTTTATGGACCTGGTGCTCAGGTTACTCACAACCTCTCAGCCCAGTGTTGACATGTTGCCTGTACTGCTCATGATGACTGTGTTTTATTGCTGCTTTTTAAAATATATATATATTATTGATTTTTCACAGAGGAAGAGAGAGGGATAGAGAGTTAGAAACATCGAGGAGAGAGAAACATTGATCAACTGCCTTCTGCACACACCCCCACTGGGGATGTGCCCACAACCAAGGTACATGCCCTTGACCAGAATCGAACCTGAGGCCTTTCAGTCCACAGGCCGATGCTCTATCCACTGAGCCAAACTGGTTCCGGCACTGCTGCTTTATATGAAGTCTGCTTACAGGCACTTTAGACCACCTCGGCCATTAGGCAAACATTAGGCCTGTGGGTGAAACAGTCATGCACCTTGTTGTATCGTGGTGTTTTCACTGTTGCACTCTAGGGACACCCTTCTAGAAAGAGGAGGAGCTCACACTGGCCTCCATGCCTGACACTTCTTCCCTTAGCCGTGAAGCCTCTGATCTGCGGCTCCGTAGAGGGGATGATAGGCTGGTGGTAAGTGGCCTGTACTCTAGGTCTCAGCGATGTGACCCAACTAAACCATGTAAGTGCCTAAAGAGTTTTCTCATCTACCAACTGGGGATAGTTACAGTAATACACTGTCGAGGTTATTCTGAGTTTCAGGGGAGCTAGTTCTTCGGTGAAGTAGGCTTGGTTCAGTGCCCAGTAGTCTAGAGCATGTACTAGTACAATGGGCAAGACTTTGGCTAGGACTGCAAATTGCCATTAGGCGGAGGGGGTGGTACGGGTGGGGGTGACAATGTGATTTGTAAAATGGAGTAATGCATTCTGGCTGGCTTGGCTCAGTGGTTGAGCATTGACCTATGGACCAGGAGGTCACGGTTCGATTCCTGGTCAGGACACATGCCCAGGTTGCAGGGTCAATCCCCAGTGGGGACATGGGGGAGGCAGCCAATCAGTGATTCTCTCTCTCCCTCAAAATCAATTAAAACAATGTATATTGTTTTACAAAGGGGGTAGGGCAGGTCAGAGGGATGATAACTGGGGAGTAAGCTTGCTTCTGGTGCCAGGCTGTGTGTTGGATTCAGGGTACAGGTCTGTAGACTCCAAGGCACATGGAGGAATGTATGTAAACCTCAGTCTTTCAGAAACATTCCTTTCTGAAAAATAAGTTGATTTTCTAAACTTGTTGAGTCTTGACTGCATGTGGCTGCGGCCCAGAAGCTTTCATATGTAGCTTGCCCAACCTTGTTTATTGGTTTCGATGGTATGACTCATCAGAATGTTTTTGCTTAAAGGGCAGCAATTTGATGAATTTATATTCTGAAAACCTGTTTTTCTATACCTCCCAAATCAAGTGAAACTTGTGGCTAACTGTGAATTTAAAAATCAAATGGACATTTGAATATCTATTACTTGTAAATCATCATGAGGAATGTAAAGGAAAATGTCTCCTTTTATTTAGCTAATAGGTTGTAGTCTGTTAACAAAGGACAAATAAATTTGGTTAAGTGTTTCATGTTTCAGTGTAGATGATGAAATTACCAAAATTTACTTACTCTTGCCTGTAAAGGAAATTTTAATAGTTTTATTACGATCACCATTATAATTCTACATTTATAATCATAAATGCCTGATTGAGGTATGATTGAGAAAGTATTAAGATATGTAAAGTGTACATTGTGGTGATTGTATGTATGTACACATTATGGAGGGGCTCCCACCATCAAATTAATTAACACATCCACCTCATATATTTATCTTTTGTGTGTGTGTGAAAGAGAACATTTAAGTTTTGCTCTCTTAGCAATTTTTTAAAATTTGTCTTCATTGTGGAAAGTGTTACACATGTCTCCTCCTTTCCCCCCCCCCATCGACCTCCTCCACCCCACAGTCACCCCTCCCAGGCCTTCTCCACACAATTGTCTGTGTACATGGACTATGTATATATGCATGTAAGTTCCTTGGTTAATCTCTCCCCCACCCAACCTTCCTTCTAAGATTTGACAGTTCTCTGCTTCTGTGTCTCTGGATCTATTTTGTTCATTTATTTTGTTCATTAGATTCCATATATGAGTGAGATCGTTTGATACTTTTCTTTCTCTGACTGGTTTATTTTGCTTAGCACAATACTCTCCAGGTCCTACCATGCTGTCTTAAAAGCTCAGAGATCCTTTTTTTTTTTTTTTTTTTTTTTTTTTTTTTTTTTTGCAGCTGCATAGTATTCCGTGGTGTAAATGTGCCACAGCTTTTTTGTATATTCATCTACTGATGGGTACTTGGGCTGTTTCTAGCTCTTAGCTATAGCAGATTTCAATTATCAATCTTAGGCATTATCAGCCTTAGTCACTATATTTTACACTAGTACCTCAGACATTACTCATTCGATAACTGAAAGTTTGTACCCTTTACTACCTCTCCCGATCTCCCATTCCTAACTCCTGGCCTGAAAAGAAAAATTAATTAATTCAACAAACGTATATTAAGCCTCACTCTATTCTATCCACTTTGCTGGGCCCTGAGGGGCAGAATGGAGTAAGATACTCTTCCCGTTCTCAGGGAGACTCGTCCAGAGATGTAGTAAATAGTGGCTGTGATAGAAGCACCATAAAGGGAGGTGTGCCCACTGCACACACAAAGAGGTCCTGATTCTTCCCAGGGCTTCTCACACTGCATGTGTGTTTGAGTTGCCTGGGGATCTTGTTAAAGTGGAGATGGTGACTCACAGATCTGGGGTGGGGCTGCCAAGGATTTAAAAGTCTGTTGGCTTTGTATGCACCAGACAAAATAGAGGGACTAGATGGAAAGGAGGCCATTTCGCTCACAAAGATGTTCTTCAGCAGAAGAGAGTAGAATGAGCCAGAGAGGTAGAAATGAGGGCGGAGGCATGGCAAAGCATAAGGGGCAAAGTTGGTAGGAATCAACCTTTTCATGCCTCTAGAATTAAATACTCATGGAGAGGACTGAAAATAATATCCTGTAGATAATGGGGAAATGGAGCTTTTTAAATTGAGTCATGACCATAGTTCTTGTGTTCAGGGGGTCCATGTCATGGGGTGGGGAAGGATAGGAGGACAGGATGTGTGGTGCCTAATACAGTAGTTTAGGCAGGATATCAGGGGTTGGTAAGGATTGTAGGACTTGAATGGGGAGGAAGAAAACTGTTTTGAAAAGAAACAGTTCCTAGTGAATTAGAATAGTATTATAAAATCCTGGTGTTGAGAGAAGAGTAGGCTGGTTGCCCATAACAAAGAACAGTGCAGGGGTGAGGCTGGAGGCAGGGAGAACTTTAATTTGGGTGACTTGAGATGCCAGCCCTAAGGAGAAACAGCTCCTTTTTCTCTATTAAGATGAGATTTGGCAGGTGAAAGCAGTGGGACAAAGCAGTGAGCATTACTTTTCAGACAAAGTTCTCTTCTCACTTATGGCACCATCAGTAACATGTGACACTATTAATTTTATCCAAGGTCTTGTCATTTTCTTGACATTCCTCAGTATGTGATACTTTTAGCATTGAGAGACTTGGTGCTAGATTATATGGTCAACTGGGGGTGGGAGGGGAGATGATTCCTGTGTTTTGAGGCTGGGGAAAAAAGGAAAACTAGACTTAACATTGGCATCAAGTAGGCCAGGAGGTTAATCCAAATGGAATCCTTCAGCAAGGAATTGGAAATGTGAGCAGCACTGGGGTTCAGAAGGAGGCGAGGGCTGCAGGTGCGAATGTGGGATGCATTCATACAGGGCAGGGTTAGTCAAGTGAATAAGGTAGACTCTGCAAAGAGGTGGGTAGGAAGAAAGCCGTGAGTGAAGGCTTGAACTTGGGAAATGCCCACATTCAGACAGTGTGAGACAGTGTGATTTCAAAGATGCCAGAGAATGCGAGGCATGTGAATTTTGTTGACAAATGGAGACCCTTCTGTTGCAAGAAAGAGAAGGTTGAATGGAGATCATTTAAGTTTGGCAAATAAGGAGTAAAGATGAACAATTAAGAGGAAAAGAGAATACTGCTAGTAATGGAGCTCCACCTGGTGTTAGACAGCAGGCATTTTCTAAGTGAAGTTTTTTGTTTTTGTTTTTTTTGTTTTCTTCATCAGATGGATTTATTTCCCCCTTTCTGTTTGGTTGTTTTAAAATTTTCATTTTTTTTTTTAACATAGAAGCCTTATGTGTGAATGGACTCATTTGTGTACTTTCCAATCAACAGCATGGGGGGAGTTGTGTCAATTTATTTATTCTTTGATTGTAACTTTGCCACAAGCTTCTATCTCATATGCCTTTCTGACCTACCCCTGTATCACAGAGAATACCAGTTAAGTACATGAGGTTCTTTGCTTACAGCCAGCCTGCTTCTAAAATATCAGCAATTAATACGTCTAGGTCAGTGGTCGGCAAACTCATTAGTCAACAGAGCCAAATATCAACAGGACAACGATGGAAATTTCTTTGGAGAGCCCAAATTTTTTAAACTTAAACTATATAGGTAGGTACATTGTTATTACCTTAATTAGGGCACTCCTAAGCTGGCCTTTGCTAAAAACTCAAAAGGCCAAAAAGCCACATGTGGTTCACGAACCACAGTTTGCCGACCACTGGCTAGGTGAAAACTTTGTCTAAAGTTATATGATTGGGAATATTCACTTTACGTTGTCAGTGAGGAGTTTGCGTTTATAAGCTGATAGCTTTCTAAATGAATAGCGGCAGAAACTTCTTTTTTTTCTTGCCCCTCAAGGAAAACCTACATCTTTGAAAACTGCGCCGCCGTCTTGGGTGAATTTGCCTCGACCGCTTCCCAAGTCCAACGGGTCCCTGAAAAGCTCCGTGCTCCGGCGGACAGGCAGCCCCTCCTCCATCGCCAGCACCCACAGCGACCTGAACGCTTACAGCAGCAATTGTGAGTCCGTACTCTCACTCATTGTCATCCTTGGGGGGTTGTTGAAATGATGGTTACATGAAGAACCAGTGCCCTGCAAAGAATTACTAGACTTCTTGGTTCTGTGATTTATGAGAACATATGCTTGCTGCTTCTTCCTCTCAAAGTTTTTTCTTTTTTTGCTCTGAAAGTTTGGCAGGAAAAAACATTCTTTCAACAATATTCTCTCTGGATGAATGTGCTATGAAACATTGAAATATTGGTGTTTAAAGGGACCTGGTATTTTTTAAAATAGGGATTCTAACGTGTGTCATTTGAAGTGATGGTGTTTTTTGGTTTAAGGAAAGAAAGCAATCTTCGGGGCCATTGGAACCCAGTTGGAAACCAGGAAAAAGAAAACTTCAGCTCCATTTATTTATAAAAGACCACCTTTTGTGGATGTGTGTATTATAATCTTTGGACTCTAGGTTCAGGGTCAAATGTCTAGTATGTTAGTTTCAAACCTACTTTTATGTGATTTAAACACAGGAGGATATTTTTAATGCTAATGTGAATTCTGTTTTCTGTGTGTAAAAAGGGTGAATTAATTGAGTGCTCCCTTGCACTCAAAAGGTGTGGTTGGTCTTGGTACTTCTTTGCTCGTTGAAATTTTCTCACAAATGTAGTTAATTTGAACAATTTACGAGTGCCTGGCTGTGTGCGGGCGCCGTGATCGATGCAACGAGAGGTACAGGTTACAGAAGAATGGCGCTCTCTCACAGGAGATGAGAAGAAAGAAGATATGTACGTGAATAACTAGAATAGCAGAGAAGCAGGATGTACGGGGATGAGGGGAAGAAGGGAGTTCTTCAGGGAGGGATCCATTTCTTCTTTCTGGTGAGGGGCCAGGGACCAAGCAGAGTCACGGGTAGTGAAGTGTATTACAGGGTTATCATGCACTGTTTTATTTTTTCCTCTCAAGTAATTCCTGTTGTAACTGATTATACACTGCGTGGCCAGATTCGTATGATCTCTGAACGCGTAAGGCCACTCGGCGTACTTCTCTCTAGTACCTCATTTATTGGATATCAAAGATACTATACATCGTGCACCTGATCAGTTTTCCCCTTTGCACTGGCTGACAGAAAGCTCGGGGCGCATAGGTGGTTGATCTCCACAAAATACTCTAGAATCCTTTTGGTACCCATTTGAGACACAAATACTCCAAGTGGCCAGATGATTATGCGTTCAGAGATCATCATCATCTGGCCCCTCAGTGTCTATATAAGGTTGTCACTGGGCCAGGGGCACCCAGGCAGCGTGTGGACCGAATGGACGCGCGTGGGGAGGACGAGGCATTGAATGAATGAGTGCTTTCTGAGAGCTCACGCAGCAGCAGTGGCTGGTCTCGTGGTCGGAAGGAGCTGGACACCTGAACTCCAGGAATGCCGGAGCATGCTGCTGACCATGGCACGGGATTCCTCTCTGCTTACTGTCTGCATTTGACATTGTAGCATGGAGTCAGAGGGGTCTGCACGGAGCTGAGAATTAGGGATTCGGAAAGGTGATGCTGTGTTAAGGTCACCCCGCTTGCCGCTCTCTGTGTGCACGGCGAATGTTAAAAACCAGCTGCACCAGCAGCAGCGTGCTCTCGGGGGACCCCTGACGCCGGGATCTGTGACACTGGAAGCAGACGCTCTGCAGTGTCTCCACCCCGCCTTTGCCATTGACAGCCATGTCGACATGGCTACCGGTTCCGTGGCATGTCTGACCCCCCTGAGGAGGCTGCACACTGCCTTTGTCTGCTCCTTTTTTGTCTTGGAACAAAGGGCTTTCCCCTCCACCCTCCGAGCCTGTCTGGCTTCCCCGTTGCAGAGTGAGCATCCTGATCAATGAGCCTCTCTCTCAGCGTGATTTGCTGGCCGGCCCGATGTGCTCTGTGCCTCGGCGGTCACGGATACCTCCCCCACATTCTAACCCACCGAGCGCACGCATGAAGGATGTGGGAGCGAACATGGCTGCAGCGTTTCCTGCCTGAGCTTGCTGCGACCCACTTAAATGACTGTACCGGGAGGATTCCGCAGCTGCACAGAAACGGAGGTTGCTTCCACCGTGTTTATCAATTCGACCCTCGCCCCGCCGGCCGGCTCCGAGAGGCACTACGATGCTACCCTGCTGACGCTGCTGGTGCTGGGGTCCTACAGCCTTTGTGTGGCTCCTTTGTTAGCCTCGCTCGCCGGGAGCAGAAGTACGTCGGGGATCTCTGGTTTGGCTCTTCTCTCCGTAAGCATGCTCGGTCTGGCGTCTTCTGCTGTTTCTGTAACTTGCGATTTATGTTAGTGGCAGTGTTTCTCGGACATAGTTTAAGTTGTGAATGATTCCATATGGATCCGATTTTATTGTGTGTTGTGCGTGTTTCCGAACGCCACATAAGTCAGCGGCACTGTCCGTGTTCTTGGCACACGGAATCACTTCATTTTCAAAGGTTATCGGGTGGTCTCCTTCCCAATGAAATAGCTAGTCGTTTTTGTGTGTGTGTGGCTGATAGTCGCATGGCTATGATGCAAATATTATTGTGGAATTAAAACGAAAACGCGTCTTTATATCACTCGTGATATTAAAAGTATTAACGCGTGATATTAAGCGTGTTAAGACATACATCGTTTTGAGCTGAGGTTTTCCTATTCTGATGGTGGGGGTGGGTCATGTTAGGAAGGCATTGACTGACCAGTGTTCGGTTCATACTGGGTGGAGCACCCGAACCCCATTAAAGAGCACTCGCTTGGCTTTGTCTGCTCATGTGTCTGTGATGTGACAATGCCAGGGCACCATCGGAGAACTCCGGAGGCCACGTAGGGCTGCTGTTAAATGAGCCCCTGGTGCTGGCTGCGTGGAGAGCCTATGGGAATAGCACTGCCAGGTTTTAAAGTGACCGGGTCAAGATGTCTAAGATAGGAAAGCTGTGTCATTTGAGGGTTTCAGAAGGCGTTCTTTTGTGTTCTTTCAAGCCTAGAAAAATGTAAAGTTAGGATATAAATTTTCCTTTTGCATGGTAGCTGCTAGGTCAGATGTGCTTATTTAGAGAGATTAAATGCCTTCCGCTCTTCCTGAACCAGTTAGCTCAAGCCCAGTTTTTTTTTTTGTTTTTTTTTTAATATATATATTTCTTTATTGATTTCAGAGAGGAAGGGGGAGAGGGAGAGAGAGATAGAAACATCAATGATGAGAGGGAATCACTGATGGGTTGCCTCCTGCATGCCTTCTACTGGGGATCGAGCCTGCAACCCAGGCACGTGTCCTGACCGGAATTGAACCGTGACCTCCTGGGTCATAGGTCGACACTCAACCACTGAGCCATGCCGGCCGGGCTGTAGTCCACTGAATAAAAATAATGTCACTGAATAAATAAAAATGAGATCGCTGAATAAAAAATAAATGATCTCTGCAGATCTTGACAGAGGGGAAGGTTGGAGGACCACGGTGCCAAAGCAGAAGGGAGTCGTCGGAGAGTCTAATTTCACCACATTAGCCAACATGAAGTCCAAGGGCTTCCCTCTCTCCCATTTGGGCCCCCCAAAAACATGTTTGTTTTTCAGACAGATGGTGAGGGGAAACATAAAAGACGCACACCAAAGCTATTTTCACTCTCTTGGAAAGAGGAGAACAGAGGAGGCTGATGAGAGAAATGGAACCATTTATTTCACCTTCATGGCCAGCTTGGCCCAGGCGGTGTGATGCGTGGAAAAGGTTAATTGACCTCGGGCTCCTCCTAGAGTTCTCCCTGGAGCTGATGTGATGTTGGACAGTGATGTTGGCTCCCTCTCTGAGCCTCCGTGTTCTCACCTGGTGAGTGGGAGGGGCGGGCCAGGCACTTGTATTTTCTTCATTACAATAGACTGACTGACCGAGCCTAATGGTTTGGAAGGAGGTGCTTGCTGTTGTTGAAGTGAGGAAGCTGGCAGAGAGAAGGAGGGGTCTGGTTTACCCGCCGTCTCTTCCTCATTGCGCGGTGACAAGTGGGAGGTGGCTCACGGCCAGCCCTGGTGGGTCGGAAAGAATCAGCTGGAGAACAGTGTTGACAGTTTTTCATGCTGCTTCCAGGTTCTGAGCAAACGTCTGAGTTTGACTAGTGATGTCTGCCAAGGGGGAGGAAGGGCTGGCAGACAGGCTGTATCCTAATAAAGCCTAATATGGTAAGTGTCCAGTCGTCTGATCGGCCATTCAACCAATCAAAGCAAAATATACTAATGATATGCTATGGCTGCTCAACCGCTCGCTATGATGTGCACTGATCACCAGGGGACAGATGGCCAACCAGCCAACCAGTTGCTATGACATGCACTGACCACCAGGGGCAGACCACTCACTATGACATGCACTAACCAACAGGGGGGCGGATACTCCAACCAGTAGGCTAGCTTGCTGCTGAGCAAGATGGATCAAATATGCCCTGGATCCCTTCCATGGTCCCTTCCTGGCTGGCCAACCTCCCGAGTCCCTCCCCAACCCCAATCAAGCATCAGTGGGTCCCTCGGCCTGGACCCCTCGTGGGGTGTCGGAGAGCTGGTTCCAACCTGATCCCACAGGCCAGGCCGAGGGACCCCACTGGTGCACCAGGCCTCTAGTATATATGTATACTCTGGCCCTATATTACAAATATGTTTAATATTTAATGTGTGTCTAAATGGACCATTAAATAAGAAAATACTATTATCCAGACTACTGTTAATTTTGTTTTTTTGTTCTTTTAATGATTTTCCAGGGTATATATGAGACATTCTTGCTATCACAGAGTGGAGTAATTTTGCTTTTGGAGTTTGAAAGCTTAGATTTCAGTAGTGATTTGATTTTGAGCCAGGTGAGCAGATGATCTGGTGCAGTGGGGAGTGTTAAGTGGATCCCCCTTCAAAATTCAAGAACTGAACAGAATGTTGGCTCTGTGTGTTTATACATACTTTACTAAGCAAACCCATACTAGTGTTTGCTAGGTGCTAAAATGGAGCATGAAATGTTTGTTCACAAATAAAAGTCTAGAGCAGTGA